GACACCATAAGCAACTACCATGTTGACCAATGACCCATATGTCATCCATGGGTGATACCATGTCACACCCCCGAACCAGACGGCGGAAACGTCAAGGGCTCGTGTGACTAACAATTGAATGATCATCACAATGAATATACATGAATCATAACACGATCATCACCAACATTACATAATACAACTGCCATTGTTTACATCAAGTACATTGTTAAAATACATAAGTTCAAATTGTTAAAAATACGATAAGTGTTGTTACATAATACAAAACCATACACACTTGCATATCTTCCAGCTTAACGATTACCTAAGAATACAAGTTATTTTGAAAACGGTCAACATATATAATGTTGGTGAGTTCATAAGTATGTTTGAGTAAAAGTCTTTGTATCTTTCATAAAAACCCAGAAAATCCGATATTTTCTGTAAAATATCTGAAAATGTTGTGAAAATCAAGTATAAATAGGGATGAGCAGCGGAAGCGGGTACCTGCTTTCGAAACCGAAACCGCCTCGGAACTGCCGGTTTTGGAACCAGAACCGCCTTAGGCGGTTTCGGTTCCGGTTCCTAAAGTCTAGGAACCGCCTTAAGCGGTTTCGGTTTCAATTCTCATTTTTACAAAACCGATACCCGCTGGATACCTGCCGGTTCCGGTTCCAATACCGGGTACCCGGAAACGGCGGTTAACCGGAACCGGTACCGACGGGTACCCGCCTTTTTCTAAAAATAACTATATATTAAATTTTTATATTTTATTATTTTTGTTTTAAAAAAATAGGGAAAAAAACTTATACTGATTACCTTAGACCTAATTCGTTTTTAGGGTTTTCGATTTTCATTCTTAATTTATGGTTACTTACTTCCCATGATCTGTGAATCACCCATCTTGCATTCAACCCACTTCGTCTCTTATTGATTTGCACATCATCCTTCGCAATTTAAGTTTGGATTTTGTCTTACTTCAACCATAATAAGATCTGTTCTTTTTTGCTTCAAGATCTCTTATTTTGCTCCGTCAAATATCATATGCAGAAATTGACGAATCCACAGCGTGTATGTTGTCTTATTCAAAGAAAAGATCAATGTCTTGCTTCCTTTTGGACCTCTGGCAATATTGATGCCCTACATCACAGGCCGACATGTAAGATTCTTCTTTCATCTCTTTTTAAGCTTCTTCTCCATGACTCTAAAACAGAAGAATTTGGTATTAATGTACTTCAATACCAAAAACTTGCAATATCACAAAGAGAATGAGCATAAACCTTGCATTATCTCAAAGTGTGATATTCTACATAACAATGGTCAAACATGCTTCAATTTTATTTGAATTTTTCCCTTTTAAACAGATATATTTGGTTTCATTGTACCTTAGGTCAGTATTGGACTAAAAGAAAGTTGAAGAGAAGAATGTATATGGAGTAGAAGTTGTTGTTGTTGTTTTTGGGTTGGTATTTGCTCGTGTCAATCCGAACAAGGATGCTATTGTACCTTAGGTCAGTATTGGCTTCTATATATTTATAATTACTTTCCATCTATAATCCATATATATGCATTTTGCTTTCCAGTGTCAGTCTGAACAAGGATGCTATTGTAGCAAATAACACATTGTCACCAAAAGAGAAAGAAGAACTCATTAGTGCAGATAAGAGTGTATTGCTCATTTAATCAACTTCTAGAATATGGATTTTGTCATGCTGATCCACACCCTGGAAACCTACTTCATACATATGATGGGAAACTAGCATATTTAGGTACTTCAAAATTACTTATTTACCCCATTGGTATAAATAAAAGGTTGTCGTTTTATGTTATATTTTTTTATGTCACTTGATGTTGTAACATAGATTTTGGCATGATGGGTGAATTCAAGCTTGTCTTCATCTAGTAAATAAGGATTATGTTGCATTGGCAAAAGACTTTGTTACCCTTGGGTACTAATACTATGGACATTTTCTTCTTATCATTAAATAAGGGCTAAAAAGTTTATGTATGAGTTGTATTTTGATGAAGTATTTCAATTTTCAGGTTGTTTCCTGCAACTGTTGATTTGTATTTTCAGGTTGCTGTTGCTGTTTTTCGATGTTGTTTTTGTTGTTATGTGTTGCTGCTGCTGTTGCTAATTTGTGCTATTGCTGATTTCTGTTGTTGTTTTGTTGTTGCTGTTATTATTGCTGTTTTTTTTGCTGTTGCTATTGCTGTTTTTGCTATTTTATAAGCTATAACTATGAAATTCACACATGCATTTATACTGTATAAATGCATGTGTGAATTTCATAGTTATAGCTTATAAAAGAGTAGTTTAGTTTCATTGTATTGTGAATAAATGATAAATGTATATGAATAATTTCTCTCAGAAAATCTGATATTTTCTGTTTTATAACGATGTCTAGATTCTTGTATCGTTAAATAACTTGTTTTGTATTGACACAATCGAAGAGTTTATATTCGAAAGTTTACTTTTGGTATTGAATCCCTATATGAGCCGTTATAACCATGCACGATAATGACTAGGTCGCCCGTTTTGGTATTTTTCCAAATGTCGGTCTTGCTAAGGATGTTGTCGCCCTAGACTGGCCTAGTCTAGCTGTAGCGAACATCTAAGGCGTGGGGGGTCATCCCGTATAGATCTATACACAAACTCCCGCTTTCCTACAAGGAAACTCTGATTATAACTACATGCTACGATTGTACACTCAATGGTGCCAACCGACAAGTCTCATTAGATTCTCAACCTCTTTTTGTACTATGTTTAATGTGTACGTATATGTGAGATGTTTTTGTATTCGAAAGACACATGAATGAGTTTACGAAGTTTAATGATTACATAAGGGTATCGTTACGACTTTCTAACACATGAAATTTCCATTCCAAGCCCTATTAGTATGAAATTTGGCCACAAAGGCCCAATCACATTTAAAAGGGTAAATTAGGCCCAATAGGCATGTAAATGGGCCACAAAACCCAATAAACATGTCATGGAAAAACATTGGGCTCAATACACACTTAATTGGGCCCTTAGGACCCAATGGCCAAGTAATGTGAATATTAGGCCCAATTAATAGTTATCGACGTATTTCGTTCGTTTGTTTTGTTCCGTTGTTTGTTTTAGCTCAAGGTTTACTAGATGGATGATAAGAAGCTTGCTTATGTAAAAATGACATTTTTGGCCAATAATCCTCCAATTTTTAATTAAGGCTCAAAGTTTTGTAAAAAATGACACTTTAGTCCATAATCTATAAAAATTTGTAATTTTGTCCCAAATGTCTAGAAACTTACGGTTTTAACCCAAAATGTTATATTTTCACATTTAGAACCATGTTTCGCAGAAAAAATACATTTTCAGCCCCTTGTTTGTAAAAGTTTACACTTTCGGCCCAATTTTTGAAAAACTTTACATTTTTGGTCAAATT